TTTATTTCAATTTTCCGATATTATGTCCATTTGTCAATCAGGTTGCTGTTATTTTGCAGTTTTCGTGTCGATGCTTCGATTATTACTATCTGAGCTGGAGTGTCATACGCGAAAGATGCTATAGTTATGTTAACATTTTGGGCTTTCAGGTAAGGTATACTAGGTGCACTAGGTTAAGTAAAGTTAAGGTTAGATTCACTATATCGTGGTCCGCTTGACAATATATTACAATTAAACACGCTTCAAATGTCGTGTAATAGGATTGGATTCTCGGCGACAAATGAAATGTCCACGGAGAGCTTTAGTGAAGTATACTTCATTTAATTCACTAATTTCGTGGTCCACTTGACCAATTAATATATTACAATTAATTAAGGTTTTTAGTTGAGATAAAACAGTGAATTGGCACGAGCGGGATTCGAACCCACGATCTTCGGCTACATACGCCGCTGTTCTACCACTTGAGCTATCGTGACCTCGATCCTCTCGGACATTAACTTCCCATCTCAACCGCACTTCTTTTTAATTTTCCCTCCTTTTTGCCATTTTTCAAATGTCGTGTAAACAAATGAAATGGCCACGGAGAGCTTTAGTGAAGTATACTTCATTTAATTCATTAAATTCACTAATTTCGTGGTGCGCTTGACCAATTGATATATTTCAATTAATTAAGGTTTTTATCTCAACTAAAAACCTTAATTAATTGTAGTTATGGTTAGAGTTAGGGACGAGTTAGGATAGGTTAGTAAAGTAAGTGTTTTTCTGTTGGTCACTTGTATAAAGCATACACAGAATTGACCCTACGAAATTTGAAGTTTCCCTGGGAAACACCCAATCACCGCCACATTGTATCTCCTTAACCAAACTGTATATTTACTTGTACATAAGCAATATATAAAAATCAACCAAGTAAATCACTTTCTGTGAAACTGTGATTTTTCGCGGGTATTGTTTTATAATTATTTTATTTATTTGATTTTACGAAATGATCTAACATATATTACGTCCGACTTGTGTATATAAATAAAAATATTTCCCCCTGCCATTTAAATTCTTATTGTATGATAATACATATTTATAGACTAAATATCTGAATAACTGTGTTTAATTCATGAGCTATTTAGTTATTTTGTAATCATTTTTAGCAACAATAATTACTACTTTTACCAATGTAAACTGAAATCATTTAGGCGTACATAATTACGTTGTTATCATAAGTAATATAATTTTGTTGACTCCTTCGTTTGTTCACCTTTCGTTTTATTAGTATGTGCGTATGTTTGTAAATCTCCAATTTAAACACATGATTGAATGATTGATGATGAGGGAGTGTGAGAAGAGAGATTGTTTTTATTAACAGAAAAAAGATCATATATATTTCTTGGTGGATATATTTTCCCAATTTTGCGCTGTTGGTAACTATTTTTCTTTTGCATTTATATTTTTCTAGTACACCAGTACATCAACTTTTTATTTAAACTTGTTGATCGCGTAAAAAAGTATATTGTTAAATAAAGGTTTGTGATTGTCCAATGAGATGAACGGCTGAATGCGGATGACAAGTCCGTCGGTAAAATATCCATGTCGATCTGGCCATAATCCCCAACGAGTCCTAATCCCCTTTGCACTTAACGGATCAGTAAAATTTACAATTAAACGCATTTTTAAGGATTAGAGGAAAATTAGGCCGGATCGGAGCATTCAAGTGGAACAAGCCGGATTATTTAAACGAAGATACATCAAGTTCACTCACGTACACCGTATCTCTCCAACGTCGGTTGGCATATTTATATCATCTCAGGGGATGTAAGACACGATTAAATATTTATTAAAAATATGTAACTCGTGTCTGGACGTATTTATGTATTAAATAACTTGGCATACTGGAGGTGGTGAATTATGCAGATTGGTAGTGTTGTTAGTCTTTTGACCTGTCATCGTAGCATAGAAAAAAGTTCTCACACCGAAAAAACCCAAATGGTAAACCCACCGTTCTTTAAAATTATTGATAAAAATTTTAGAAATTACATTGTTTGCACAAAAATATATAAAATAGATTTGGGAATAAAGGCAAAATCGAAACCATTAGTGAAACATTTAAAATCTATGTATTCAATAACGTCTATTTTGTTGACCCAATTTCCTTAAATCATTAAAAATCCTTTTACCTGTTATTCAAAAATAATAAACTGAAAAAATCCTTGATGTTATTTTCAACATTACAGTATTAGAATTTAAGAAATTTTCTCTTCTCTCCTTTTTTAATTTAGAAATATCATCAAAGCTCGGCAATCGTTAGATACAATTTATGTAACATTTATATATTGCAGTTCAATCGCAATACAATCAAGTTAAATATATTTGGCATTTATTATTTTTGAGAAATCCTTTAGCCTAGCAAAAAATATTAATCATATTTAATGGAATTCAATTCACTAAAGTTTACTAAACTGAACGCTAGTTCAGAAACTGCGCTTACCATTTTTTGCAATTTGTTATAAATTAAGATATTAAATCCAATATCTGGCTTTTACCTTTATCGTTTGAACAAAATATACATCATAAACTAGATTAAATAGTGTAAATACTACTTTATTTTTTTAAATAAATTTAGTTAATACTCTTGTATTTTATTATAGCAAAAAATTAAATATTTGCGAACAAAAAAAATATTTAAATATTTTAATATAAATTTTAATCAAATTTTACAAGAAACAAGTATTGGATAACTGTTTTAAGTCTAAGATATTCCCGTTTCCAGATCAAATTAAACTTTTGGTCCAAACCAAGGTTTTGTAAAGAATATTTTTTAGCATTTCGACATTTTAACATTGCGATTTAACCAATTGTTGATCTGAGATTAGAAATTTATGAGTTTTAATGTTATGAGTTGGATCTTTGGGAGGTCAAATGACGGATGAAATAAAATGAAAAAAGTAGAGCTTCCTGGTTCAACGGAGCTTTCGGCGACTTGTATCGCCATCCTCAGGGCCTAGATTGTATTATATTGTGAAAAAAAAATGTATACAAATCTAGGCCCTGAGGATGGCGATACAAGTCGCCGAAAACTCGGTTGAACCCGGAAGTAGTTCTTTTTTCCTTTTTATTTCATCCGTCATTTGACCTCCCTAAGATCCACCTCGTAACATTAATTGCTGCAGGTCGATAACTTCAACTTAAATTATGAGTTTTAATCATAATTGTTTAATTATGATGGTTTGAAAGAAAATTCACCAGAACAGGGGAAAACGTGATAGAGTAAATTGTTAGCTACATTTTTAAATCTATCACTAATTCAGTTTATTAATTTTATTTTACACCATCATAAATACATATTTTTTATTAAATCTCAAATATCATAATAACTTTTGTAATTAATATAACGATAGAAATACATTTGTTTGAAATAAATAACAAAATACGACTGTCCGGCTTTTACTATGAGTACACATCATACAACTTAATATATTTTTCTTTACTAAATTGGTGTTGTGTTTTGTAAGGAAAAATCAACTCGCTAGCCGGTCAAAAGAGTTTCATCAGCCTTGAATTTTCGATGGAAATTGCAATTTGGTCGAACGGTATTTAAGAATTCACCCCTTGGGTATTAAAGACTTCTTTAACAACCACTAGTGTACCAAGGTATATCAAACTTTTATTATTAAACATTTTAAAATTTTTATTTAAATTGGTTGATTGTTGTTTCCCTTCTAAAACTTTTATCTGATTTAATATGTAGCGTTTAATTATTCGGTGAGAGTAAAAGCACATTAATAAAACCAAAATAATTATAACTACTTTTTTAAATCCAATTTCCTTTGCCCTATTTTTTCTCCTGTTTAAATTAGCATTTATCCTTGCCTGATATCATGATCGTCCTTCTCTTGCCATCATTTATTCATGATCATGATCGTGCATACCCAAGTTAAATAATCATAATATTCTCTTATACTAAACATTGTTTGCTCTACTTTTAATAATTACCATTCCATTAGTGGTCATTTATTAATGAACCTATCTCACCCATTTCGCAATTACTCTTTCTCGTAATTAGAGAAAGATATTGCACGTTCATTCTTAACGTTTAATTATTAATCAAAGAAGTAGATTTTAAAGTCTTTTCATCGCTGCATCTTACAAGTCTCAATAATTGATAATTAAATATTTAAGCTTTACTCTTATATATTCAATTAAAGGGAAAATTAGAGAATTTTTTTTATAGTAGATTCGTAGATACTTTTTCTTCTNTCTCTCTCTCTCTCTCTCTCTCTCTCTCTCTCTCTCTCTCTCTCTCTCTTTCTTTCTTTCTTTCTTTCTTTCGACGTCTTTAATTTATACAGATTAAATAAGAACTTGTTGGTTTTTATTTTAATGATGAAGATAATAGTTTTATTGGCATCATACATATGTATGTACATGTGTAGTGGTTTTCGACAGATTGATGAAGCAATCAAATTTACGATAAATAAAGCCATTTTCTGTATCTATTATTAACCACATGATGAATGTAAAGAATGTGAAAGTGTATTGACATTTGAAGAAGGTATGTTAGTATATTATGGAACCCAAAACTTCGATATGCCAAAATTACTGTCCAAAAAATGAACTTTTGATAACAATTAGAACAATATTGTTAATTTTTCACATTTGCCACTGATATATTCACAGTGTGGTTTAGTTATCCAAACCATATTCTTTAAAAACAGGACTCAGGTCAACGATTCTATCGAATTGACAAATTTTTAAATTGAGCTAATTAAGTTGACTTTTTCATTTCCGTTTTGGTACAAAGTAGTGATGCATAGACGAGAGTGATACTATAATTTTTTTTTAAATTGTATCATCAGGACTATACCAGTTTAAAATTTCGTATAAAAATAAATAAACAAGTTTAATAATAAATCTATTATCAGATTCATGAAGTGTTTTACAGCAGAGTTGCAATTTTATTCGGAGTGACGTACGACGATTGGGAACTCCCGTTTCCCCCTTCCAAAATCAGTCAAGGTTGGAGATTGTGGACAACAGTGTGAAACACAATTTGCTTATGGCATAGTTCAGTCAGTTTCGACTTTGCCAGCGATACGGAACCGGGTCGTTTGTGCTTAAGTAGTGCTTTGTACTGTTAACAACGCAAAGCTCCATCGTAATGAAACAATGACGCTCCAGTACAACGAGCTTGACAACCTCACCTATCTGCTTGATGTTCAAGGTAAACCGTTTAGTGACCTGCTGAAATTAATGCTAATAAAATAATTCAATTGATCGTTTTACTTTTTCCGCTTTTTAACCAAGGTTTTCCTCAAGAAATCCCGAACATTTATGAGTTTCAAGAGAGAGTAATTACACATTTAGACGTCGCGCCTAGCAGTAGTTCATCGCAGTCTGGCTTTTCAGATGAATGCATGTCTCCAGAAATAATGCCAATGCAACGTAAGTTTTATCTATTTTTGTACATTTATTTTTAATTAATTGGTTAATTTTCCATTTATTAGTTGTTAATTTTTAGCCAATGAGATATACACTATCTTTCAATTTTCCTATTCTTGTTTGTTTGTTTATTTTTATTGATTTATTTTTTATTTAATCGTTAATTTTTCATCGATGTTTCTAAATTTGTTATAGTCAATGCTTCGTGACTGAGCAATGTAATAACCTGAAAATGTCTTAGTTCATAGATTCATATGATATAAAAAAACTGACCGACTCTACCTATCTATTTTAGTTCAGTCACGAGATATCTCTATCTCTGGCTATCTATCCATCTTCTATCTGTCCATCTCTCTCTCTCTCTCTCTCTCTCTCTCTCTCTCTCTCTCTCTCTCTTCTTCTTCTTCTTCTTCTTCTTCTTCTTCTCTCCCTTCCTCTTTCTCTCTATCTATTTACTTATCTATCTTTCTCACTCTCTCTATCTTCTTCCCTTTCTCTATAGATATTTGAATTTATGATTTTAAAAAATATAATTTAAGATAACATATTTGCAATATCAAGTCCTATGCCCCCCGCCTAAAGTTGTAAAACCAGTACAGTCTAGAAAAAATCATCGTACCATCGTAAAGTGTAAAACCGGTGCTATCGTGTTGGCATTCCCTAAGCACTACTATTTACTATTAAATAACGTAAATAAAAAATTTTAAATCATTTAATATAAAAATGATGTATACCATATACCAAGATTTATTTCGTGACTGAAACTTTCAAATATTGTAATTTTTTTATATTTATAACACACTAAATGTATAAAAAGTGTGATATTATTTTAGGACAGGAATTCGCCCACATAATATATCGAAAGGTTTGATCAATTTTAAATTTTCTATAAATATATCAATATCAATACTATTACCACATTAGCTCCACTTTATATAACTTTTAAAATCTAATTCATTTACGAATTATATAGTTCAAAATAATTGATTTTATATTTGTTGGCAGCAAACCGTTTTTTAAGCACAAATTATTCGATGAAAATATTAAGAAATGCTGTTAGCAAATACTTAATAAAAATTAATATTAAATAGTACAGAAAAACAATCGTTGAATTTTATTCATGAATCCTATTTTATTTTATAAAAATTATAATTACTTAAGATTGTAATTTACATATATTCTAAACAAAATTTTATTAAAGTAAGAATCTTCGTCTAACTGGTGGTGGCATGTGGACTACTAATGGATGTGAACATTAATGCTTGTCTATACATTTCATAAAAGATTTTTAATTTGGTTTTTCAAAGATCTGTCTTTTATTAATTATTTTGTTAGGTTAAACTTTTCCACGTGGTTGTTTTGGGAAAAATATTTTTCTTTTATTTATATGGACGTTTCGAAACTTTTCCCGCCGCGTGAAAAAATTTATTACATAAACAAATGTTAAAAGGCTCAGATTTTTTGAAAAATCTACGTAAAAACCTAAATAAATCAAACAGTCCTCACATAAGGTAGAAAATCTGGGAAAAAAACGCTCAACCCAGAAATTATTTCTGAGAAATTTCATAACAATGGAAATGGCATTAAATATAGTATACATACACTGATGATGGGAAAGAAATCCCGAAACGAGCATATAAATAAAAGGAAAATATTTTTCCAAAACAACCAAGTGGAAAAGTTTATAATCTCAAAAAAATAAAAATGAAGTAATAAAAAGTTATTTTTAACCTAAAGACAAACATCAATGCTTCTGCCATCCGTACCTATTGAATGAGCGATTTCAAACGAATGCGGTCGGTAAAAAAAAGAAAATCAATATCAGTGTACGTGCAAAAACTCTAAAGAGGCTAACATGATAAACTCACAACACGTTTTATGGGCAACCAAACAAAATAAGTTTTTCCTCAAAAACTATTTCAAGTAATTATAACTGTCAAAGGAAAATCAAAAACCTCTCAAGGAAAATGAATTTTTTTTTAATTAGGCAAACATTAGATACTATGCTGTTTTAATTAATTATACGAGAGATAAAACATCGAAACGATCATTTCCTTTTACGTATGAATTCTTTTTAATAAAGTGACACTTCATATTGTCACACTTAACCAACTTATTAAAAACTTTAAGAAGAAGAAGAAGAAAGAAGAAAAATAACTTTATTCTGGGACTGGTGTCCCCTAAGAATAATTTACATGAGACAAAATATAATAACCTTCTATGAAGTCACATAATTTAAAAAAAAAGGAAAAAAAANTCCCGTCTTTTAATTAGGGCTCTAATTTCGTCGTTTAACCAAGGAGAAGGAGGACGACGGATAGTGTGGGATTTTAGGGGGGCATGTTTGTTAAGGATATTGAGGAGATTGGAGGTCAGGAAGCCGACCATGGAATCGATGGATGAGCCAAGATAAACGTTGGCCCATTCGATCGATTCCAGATCCGGCCTCAAAACCTCGAAAGAAAGGGTATTAAGTTGACGGAACCTTATGGTTTTGGGTGCGGGACGTGGGGTAGGAATATTATATGTGATTTGGATCAAGTCGTGGGAGGAGAGAAAGGGGATAGGGTGTTGGGAGGAGGATAGAACTTTATCGGCGGAATCCACAACCATAAGATCAAGCCAGGTGGATACAGAAGCAGTGTGATGTGTGGGATTAAATGGAATACATGAGAGATTAAGGGAGAACCATAGATTTTCAAGGAGTCTTTTGTTGTAGGAGGCAGAGGAATAATTTGCGTTGAAGTCACCTGTGATGATCACGTTGGTATATAGAGGGGAGTAGTTGTACAGGGTGGAAAGGAAGTAATTAGGGAATGGAACCTGAGGGGGTCGGTAAACAACTACAAAAAGGAGACGGTGGGGAAGGAGGGATATTTCACCAAAAATGAAATCTATATGGGGAGATTCGAGGATTGGGGATGTTTCTAGGATGCGACATTGTAGGCTGTTGTGGACAAATAAGCAAACACCGCCGCCGGTCCGGCCTAGCCTATCGTGCCGGAGAAGGGAATAGTTAGGTAAGGATACTGAGTAGGAAGGGACGTTTGGTTTAAGCCAAGTCTCGGAGACAGCAATTATGTGGTAGAAGTTATCAGTGAAATGTACAAGGAATTCATCGTAATGTGCAGGGAGGGACTGGGCGTTGACATGACAGACCGTTAAACAATAGGTCATGTTTTCGGATGGGGAAACTTTAATAATGTGAAAAGACATAAGCTAAAGTTAAAACATCGCTGTTTTAGATAAAACAATGTATGTCGTTTAATCGTTTCCGATCCAGGGTTTGCCTATCCTCGCTGTTTTGTAGGTCCATTGTGCATTATACATAGTAAAAAATCCTAAGCTGAAAAATAATTTGAGCATTTCTGTTCTTCTCATCAAAGATTAGCGTTTATTCTCTTCATTAAGTGTGTCTTTCTAAAAATTTCGAAACGTCAAAATTTTAATAATAGATTATTACAATATATGGATTATTAATGTAGATCAATAAACTCGTAATAAATAATAAATATTAAATAACCGGCAAAATAGTATATTTTTTAGAATAGAGTTTTTATTCGAAATATTTACAACAGTTTACATATATTTATATAGGAGGGCCAGTTTATACTTTTACTTCTAGCTTCAGAATTTAATTTTTCAAAAGAGTATATCAACAAGACAAAACAAAAGTTAATTTAAGGGTAAAAACGTAATAAAAACCCTAAGCCGTAGGCGAGGTTTAAACTAAAGAGTTCTTCACTCTCCTATGCCTGTACACAAAGCCCAAGTTATCAAGTCATAGTACCCTATTTATTGAACTGATTACTGCTTAGCTTACACAATTCTTGGTGAGGCGTTTTATATGGTGTACAACGTAATCCATGTCTGTGTTAATGTTCAAGTCTCCAGTGCGGTTATACCAGGTGGTGAGATCACAGTCGTAAAAACTTATTTTGCGTAATTTGTAGGGAGGCGAGTTGAGAGAGATTCGAAATTTCCTATTATATAAATACGAGTGAATATTTTATTGAGGTATGGGGAAAACTTCTGATTTTTCCTTCTCGAAGGTTGGATAATAGGTCATCCTAAAAAAAATAACAACCAGCTTTTTCACTTCACATTTCACAACGTTCGGATTTATTTTAATCCTTTCTCAGGTGAGTTAGCGCAGTGTTAAAACAGTGGTCGTCAGTCGTTAATATTTTGTAATAACTTATATGAAAAGAAGCCAGTCTGAAGGACTTAAAAAGTGTATCACACTGGCTTCTTTTAAAATAAGTTATTACAAAATGATTATTTGGATAACGTGAGATGCGGTTTGGTGTGACGTAACATTTTCTTTATCGTGTCAACGTTTCGATCTTTATTGAGATCATCTGGCACAAGATCTGGCACTCTCAACACGACACGCAAGAATGTCACAATTACACAGAAGACAAACACTTTGAGCCCTGAAGTTGATCGAAACGTTGGCACGATAAAGAAAATGTTTTTCTAAAACCTACGTCACTCCAGACCGCATCTCACGATATCCAAATAATCATTATCTAACGGTCACTAAACACCACACATTATTACAAAATATTAATGACTAAATACTATGCTAACCCATTTGAGGAAGGATTAAAATAAATCCGAAACGTTGTAAATTGAAAAAAGCTTGTTGTTGTTGTTTTGAGATGACCTATTATCCCACCTTCGAGAAGAAAAAATCAAGAGTTAAACTTTGAGGTCGAAATAAAAACATCGTTATTCTAATGAAGGGAGGTATGGGGGAAAGCTATAGTCTATCAGCTCCTTATCATTCGAGCATACGCCCCAGTTACGTCATCAACAAGTCTAGCTTGGGCGGTTATAGAAAGCCGTTACCGGAACCAAAACTGCTTATACCAGATAATCTAGTGGACATCCAAATGACGACTGACCCTAGGTAACAGTATTCTCTGGAACATTTTACTATCGATACTAGTAATCGGCCTTTAGCTGTTTAGCTCACTGAGTACTTCGGCAGGCTTCAG